GGGGGATCCCCACAAAGGCCCTCGGGGACACCCGTGGCACCGGGACCCCGAGCTGGGGACACCTCCTTGGACTGGCCACAGAGCCAGGCTGAGCACGGGGACAGTGACAGCAGAGCCACGGGGACAGTGACCAGCAGAGCCACGGGGCGGCCGTGGGGACACAGAGCCACGGGGACAGTGACCAGCAGAGCCACGGGGTGGCCGTGGGGACACAGAGCCACGGGGACAGTGACCAGCAGAGCCACGGGGACAGTGACCAGCAGAGCCACGGGGTGGCCGTGGGGACACGGCCACGGAGCTCCGGAGCCGCGGGCTCGTCCTGTCCCCAGCCCGGGACACGGCTCGGACACCCCGAACTCGGGCGCTGCCACTCAGCCAAGGCCACCGAGGACGGCATCGGTCACGGCCACGTCCCTGCAGCGCTGGGGGACAGAGACTCGACTGCTGAGGTGACACCGAGCGATGGCTCCTGAGGTGACACCGAGCGATGGCTCCTCTGGTGGCCTCCTGCCATCCCCGGGTGCTCTGGTGGCTGAGGGACAGGAGCCTGGGGACACCCAGGATGAGCTGGCAGGAGCTGGGGACACGGCTCTGTCCCATGCCACCATCGCTCTGTGCCATGTCCCGTCACCCTGTGCCACATCCCTGTCACCCCGTGCCATGTCCCCAGTGGTCTGTGCTGTGTCCCCATCACTCTGTGTCACACCAGCATTGCTCTGTGCCATGTCACCTCACTCTGTGCCGTGTCACCTCACTCTGTGCCGTGTCACCTCACTCTGTACCGTGTCCCCGTGGCTCTGCGTCACACCCATGTCACTCTGTGCCACAGTGTCACCTCACTGTGCCAGTCCCCATCGCCCCGTGCCCTGTCCCTGTCCCTCTGTGCCACCTCTCAGGGCTGGCAGTGCCGGGGCAGCGCGCAGGTGACAGGTGGCACACGGCAGGTGACGTGTGGCACACGGCAGGGGCACACGGGTGGTGGCACCCGGGGCTGGCAGCGTCCCCTGTCCCCCCCAGCACAGGGGACAGCCTGGGGCTGGCGGGGGCCGTGTCCCCCCTCAGGGCCACCCCGGGGGCTCCGCGTGTCCCCCTTGTCACCGCTCCCTTGTGAGGTGACACTTGTCACCGCGGGGCCACCGCGGGGCCACCGTCCCTGTCCCTCTCGGGTCTTTTTGCGGTCTGGGCTTGCTGTCCCTCCCCCAGCCAGGAAGCCCTTACCCCAAAAAGCATCCGCGGGGGGCCGAGCCAGCGGGGACCCCCAGGGACCCCCGGGGACCCCCGGGGACCCCAGGTAAGTGGGGGGGCTCAATCGGACCCTTTGGGGACAGCGAGGGGACAGTGGGGGGGCAGTGCCGCGGGGGGGGCACGAGGCCACCACAGCTCCCGGTATGGTCGGGGACCAGCGGGGGGTGACACTGGGGACACCCGAGGGCGGGGGGTGACACTGGGGACACCCGAGGGCGGGGGGGTGACACTGAGGGTGCCGGGGGGGTCCCCAGTGCTCCCAGTTTGGGTCCCCATCGCTGCCCAGTGACGGGGGAGGGGCGGGTGGCCGGGTGACCCCTGGTGGCCCTCGGTGGTGGGGACGGGGACATGAGTGACACCGGCTTGGGGACAGGGATGGGGACACAAGGGGAGCCGGCAGGGAGGTGACAGGGACAGGGGACAGGGATGGGGACACAAGGGGTGCTGTCCAGGAGGTGACAGGGCCGGCGACACGAGGGATGCCAACTGGGAGGGGACACGCCGTGACGTCACCCAGGTCACCGTGCTGGCCGCGGGGAACGCTGTGTGTCCCCAGTGTGTCCCCAGTGTCCTGGCGGTGGCACCTGGGGCCCTGCCAGCGGCTGCCGGGCACTGGTGTCACCAGTGTCACCGCCGGCCTTCCCGGAAGGGCCACCACAGTGTTTGCCGAGTGTCACCGCCGTGGTGACATCAACTCCGGCGGTGACAGCCCCGCCTGGGGACCCCGACCCTCCCCGGGGCCTGGGGACCCACACGGGGACAGTTTGGGGACACCCCGGGCCGGGGCGGTGACAGGGACAGGAACCACCCTGCTCCCCCCAGTGACAGTGCGGGGGTCCCCCCTCCCCCGTGTCACCCTGGCGGTGTCCCCGGCCGGGGGGGGACCTGGTCCGGGGGCATCCCTGGGGACACCGGGGAGCCTCGAGGACATCGGTCCTGTCCCTGTCCCTGTCCCTGTCCCTGTCCCTGTCCCTGTCCCTGTCCCTGTCCCTGTCCCTGTGCCCATCCTGTGCCAGGTGTGTGTGCCTGGGGACGGGGGGGACACGGGGAGGGGACACGGGGGTGTCTGGGGACACGGGAGGACAAGGAGGGGACACGGGAGGTGACACAGGGGGACACGGGCGCGTGTCCGCGGTCAGGGCGCGCGGGGGACGTGTCACCGCCACGCGCGGGGCTGCGCTCACCTGGGCACGTATGCGCGGGGGGGGG